GAATATGAAAATCTAACCTTAATTTAGAAATTACCGGCAATACAAAATCCGGCCACCTAATTGTTAACCTTAGCCCCTTATATCAGTTATACAGACTTGATTATTTAACATATGAAATACCCATGGTCACAAGTTACTAAATACATATTTGTGTGATGATAAATACACACTTTGATTACTTATTTGCAAGACAGATCTTAATATTCTGATACGATACTTATTATTAATTTGAGAATTACGCGGATATTTTTAGAACATGATCGTACAACATAGCATTATTCTCAAGGCTTTGACGAGAAATCATAAGATTTTATCAAACAATACAAATATTATTTCTTAACAAACTTTAGCAGAGATGTAAACAGATCAAGTTAAGGTATTTTAAATAAGAATTTAGTGATATTTTTATGTATTAAAAAATACCCTCGCTCGAACGATTACCATATTCGTGTGACAATAAATGCACTTTGTTTAGCAAGAAGTTATTTCTCCACAGATATGTCGAAGTTATAACGTAAAAATTATAGAGCATAATGAACTTAACAATATACTGCAAGTATATTGCGATCTAAGCCACCCTTTATTTGACCAATTCTTGTTGCAACCAGTAAGGACAAAATCGATTTACAAAATCATCGTATGTGCTAGACTATTTTAAGTAAAAGATGAAAAAAGACGAAAAAAAAACGAGTTAGTTGTACTGGGTTGTAAATAAAGTAAAAAAAAAAATTCTTGAAAATGTCTAAGTTCTAGTCTTTTATGCAATATTCACATATGGTACATAGAGTTGTAATAAATAAATAAATAAATAAATCAAACGGTTAATAACAAACGGGTTTGAAATATTTTTTTCAATAATAAAGATAATATTCATATCGATATCGATATAATTGTTTGGTATGTACGTACGAGCGTACAGTACGTCCCGTAAGCGAAGTATCATAACACAACAAATCACATGAAAACGCAAATCAATCAGATTCATGAATTCGGATACACCCATATTTCGTTCCTGGTATAATCGCATTTATAGAGGTTACAAAATATAAAGGTTTATACAATACAATAGTCTGAGACAGATTTAGGGCCCGAATTTAAGAAGTTCACGCATTTATGTGTACAATTCGCCTCCCTCATACCAACAGGTTGTTCTGATGATTTTTGTCGTTATAGAGTGAGTATCCCGAACATTGAGACTAAGCCACTTCAGTGTTGCTGGCTGGATGCTGGAACCTACTGGACTTCGGTTTTTTTCAGTGTTTCAGTTTCAGTAGGAAATCTCCCTGGAACGATTTCTGGAAATATTCCCAATAAAACACATATTAAACGTAATTTTTAGTCCCGTTTCCCGACTTATTTCTCCTTCCTGACACCTTTGTTTCTGACATTTTTATTTCCCGACATATTCATTTTCTTGCCATTGATAGCTGTTTCAAAAATGTGTGAACGGTCGCATGTCACCATATCATGAGAAATTCACGATATTTTCCAATTTTCAAAGTTTTTAAGGCCCGCTCTAATCTGAATTTTAATCAGATATTTCGGATTTCCGCATAGGTATACAGTATGAAAATCGCTCACACATTTTTGAATTTTCCTTGAGTTTTTTTTTTTTTTGATGATTTCATTTTCCCGAAACTTCGTTTTATTTGTGTTGATTTTAGAAAAGATTGTTAATCAGGGTATTTAAAATAATCTATTCAGATCCATAAATATAAATATTTACTATTTAATTTTCATTTTAGATTAAGAGTATAAAGTAAGATAAGTAGTTAAAGTAAGAATTCGAATTCATGAATATTTACTATGTAATTTTATCTTAAATAGTGTCAAATTCATGAATATTTATCATTTAATTTACTGAAGTTCGTGAATATAAAGAAATCTAAACATTTTAAAATTAGTATTTAACTTATTTTATTCGCATTAATCTAGAACATTCATTAATCTAAGTGTCTAAAATAAGTATTCAAGTTCATGAATTTTACCATTTAATTTCATCTTATTCGCGTTAATTTAGGAGGTAAGCACGAAGAATATATGACAAATGATCATGCAGAGAAATGAAAATGTCGGGAAATAAAAGTGCCGGGAAAGTGAATACGTATTTGTGTCAAGGAATGTCAAGGAAGTGAATATCAAAAAATAGTTATCGGGAAACTGATTAATTAATCGTTGGAAAAATAAAAATCAAGAAGATGATTGAAACTCCTTATGATGTTTACCACTGGAAACCACCAGAACGCCTTTTCAGCGAATGAAAAATCATCACTAGGAGCAGTCAGGGCAATCAGGTCCAGTGATTCGATTAAAATCTTTAAACATCTGGTTACTTTGATAAACTCTCGCCTACACATATAAAAGTTATAAGAATTTAAATATACATAAATAAAGAGTAAAAGTTTCTTTAATGGTTGAATGCTGCAAAAAAAAAACAAAAAAAAAACTTAAGAAAATCAATTTTTATTTGCAGACCTTACAATAAATCACAAGATACAGCTTTAAAGAGTTATACTGCTGTTACGGTACGATCGATAATTTATACTCTAAAATATATCATATTATAGGGGGAATTATTATCGAGTTAGTGAGCTTATGTGCCCCTTCTCGCACATAAGTGTCGTAACCAACCTTAACCAAGTTACGTCCTTTTTATAGCTTAAAGGACTAATAAGGCTTAAACATAACTCACCTTATTGTATAGAGGCTTATTTTCTATCGGCCGATGAACTCCATAAATTATCTAAGCTTTAGAGTTAAATTATAAACTTGTTTGATTTTACCCCATGACACTGCAAATTTTATAAATACAACTACTTCTTGAAAAATGACTCTAATCTTATTCTAAATTGATTTATGTAAAAAAAAAAAATTCTATCAATTTCCCCTTTTTTGCGGCACTTTGCTCATTTAATACGTACGTACATATGTACAGTACGTCAAAAACGCTTGTTTATTGAAAAAATAACCGAGTAATTTTTTTGAAAAATAAAGAAATTCCTGAAGAGTTAGAGGAAAAATACAAAGCTTAGAAATTTAAGTTAATAAACTTATTACAGTTGTTGTTAATATTTATAAACACAATGTGATTTTTTAATGATTGTATTAGTATATGGGTCGTTTGCTAGGAAAATCACTGTCTGAAAGCAAGTATTAAATGGTGATTTTCCTAGCAAACAACCCATATGTAATTCATAAATTTTAATAATAAGTTCGTAATGAATGTCCTTCGAACAACAAGAAACATAGGTGATCTACGAGTATTATAATATAGAAGCTTACCGTTTTATAAATCCATAGAAGCACCACTAAGTACGTATATATCAACCCCTATTATATTTAAAATTAACATAGCTTTTGGCTAGCGGATAAAGTAAATCAATATTTATTTACTGAAAAATTATCTTTTCCTCTTCACTTACTAATAGTGATTTAGTACAACAACCTACCTCCCAACAAACATCTATTAACAACAACAACTCCAGACCTTACCAAAAACAACCTCATTATTAGCACTCTCATTATTAGCTATTCTATTGACATTCATTCTATTATCAACTACCTCGTTAGCAGAAACATGAACGTTTCCGGCCCTTATTTCTTTTTTCAATTTATTATTATAATAAATTAAATAACCAATAATAATCAATAATCCTACACCTACAACACTTCCAAAAACTGACCCTACAATAATTCCGATGTTCAAGTTGTTAGATATGTTCGATGTACCCGCTGTGCTCGTTGTGTTCGTTATGCTTGGATTTGGATTTGACGCACGTGGGCTATACAAATAGACCCATTTATATTGACTATTTGAGATGTCTAGGATGCTTACTGTATTAATAAACGTAGAGGTGCCAATTATGCCTAAAAAAAAAAAAAAAGTAATTAAAAGCAAGTTACATTTTAATATAATTTGTGAAAGCAAAAAAAAAAAAACTTCTGATAACTATTACTTACCAAATGCGAAGAATATATAATCGTTATAAAGTGTTGCCGTATGTGAGTTCGGTGTTTCAGATGGTGAATTACCAGAAGGCGTAACGGACGTCCAGACATAATCAGTAAGATTTAAAACTGCGATTCCATCTATCGTTTCAGATGAATTGGATATGCCTCCGAACATTATTATGCTTTGATTATTAGTTGCAAGGGTGGCTGTATGACCCCATCGAGCAGAAATTGTTCCTATTATCGTGGCTATCTATAAAGAAGAGTTAATCTCTCATGAAATAAAATTTTATTATGAATATATACCTTCTGTGACCATTGACCAGTTATCGTATTGTAAATGTCGAGCTTAAGAAATTTGCTGTTAACATTATCATGGGTTTATTTATGTGGATGGCATTTATCGTTTGCTAAATTACCTGTGCAATATCGGGATTAAAATATCCTCCAATCATAATTATATTTCCATCAGGAATCAATGTCGCTGTATTGCGTTGACGACCTATTGGCTGAGTTGGCACTATATTGATACTCCAGGAATAGCTTAAAACATCGAGTATGTATATTGCTCCATCATTAATAGCATTATTAGGACTTTTATGTTTTGTGGTTATAAGATCTTTCATTATTAGATATACAGTAGTATACAACTTTCAATTTAAGCAAATACACACTTAACAGTTTCAGAACCTCCCCAAACGTACATTTTTGCTTTCGTAGAATCGATAACTGCAGTTGGCCATTTTCTCTGAGATGGCCATGAGTTAGGGTTTGAACTATTTGTGCTTGTAATCGTTCTGGTAAAATTAGAAGGTACTTCCTTGATTATAACGAGATCATTAATATTTCCGACCTAAATTGATTATAAAAATTATTTTGGTTTGCAGAATTTTCTCAAGCCAACAATTTTATATACTGTAGTTTTTTCACACCGTATTATATCCACCAAAAATAATCATTTCATCTTCATAAGTAATCGCACTATAACCTCCTTTCTGCGTCAATGTGAAATTGAATTGAAATGGCGGATTGGAAGCATCGAATGATTGACTCAAATCGATATAAAAAAAGTCATTTAAAATAGATGAATTCCATCCACCATAAAAATATATTTTATTTGACAAGAGTATTGCTGCAAAATCTGTTCTTGCAGCAGGAATATAGTTTGCGATGCATTTGTTAAGCAATAATAAAATCAAAACAATAAGTTTGATATATGAATGCATTTAGACATGAATGCATTTAGATGTACGTATCATTTTAAACATTTCATAAATATTTACAAAGTCATATTCTTCTTGTGTAATGTTAGTGACAGTACAATTTGTAATCTTTGAATTTGTACCAGGTCTCACCAGTGATGGTAAATGACTTGGTCATTTGCAAAATTTTCAAATGACCACAAATGACCCGAAATGACCGGTCATTATCGGTCATCTTAATTTTGGGTCATTTGGAAATGGCTCGTGACAAATGACCATGGCCATTTAGAAATGACTGGGTCATTTGAGGGTCATTTAGTCTATAGGTTTTGAAATAGGCTGGGTTAGGCTAGGTATTTGTATACTCGGGCCCAAACTCAATAAAAATTTATATGCCTGACCTAACCCAGGCAGGGTAAATGATCCGGTCGTTTGATCGAAATTTAAATGATCCCAAATCATGACAAGATCATTTGGGTTATTAAGTTCATTTAGATCATTTGCATATAAAATAATTTTATTGGTCGAATTGTTCATATAAAAAGTTATACATTATTACATTCCTAAAGTCAAAACTCTTATTAAGTCAATTAATATTTATAAATTGAAAAACTTTTTATTAATTTCGTATAAATGTAAAATGCGTATGTGAATTAATAAAAGTTCTTCAGTTTACATGAAAATTTCAGAATATATGCAATTATTATTTCAGTCACTTTACTAAGATATAAATATTAATTGACAGTAAAATTTTTGACTTAATATATAGCTACGATTATCGATTATATTTTAATTTTGTTTGGCGGCAAATTCAGATTGGCTAAAGGGCGTTGGAATATCAATTAACATACGTTAAATGACCTTCTAAGTCATTTGAGCCTCAAAATGACCCAATGACTACCGTAAATCGCCGTATATAAGACCCCCATGATAGTAGGCCCACCCGTAGTATACCCGGATGCATATCATGAGATCTATATTAATCAAACATGGTTTTTTTCAAATATCTGGATTGTCTATTATTAATGCAAAACATGCATACTCTTCAAAGTTTTCCTCTTAGTGACATGAACTCTCGGCTGCATACTAGACCCGGGTCTATTATAGATTTAAAATTGGTGGAATGTAAGAGACCCGGGTCTTGTATACGGCGATTTACGGTAGTCATTTTCATTTGGGTCATTTCGGATCATTTACCATCACTGGACGGTCTCACCGTTATCGATAAGTCAAAGTCATTTATATATCACTATGCATATTGTGCATTAAGTAATCTGTTTGATTAACAACTAAAATATTGGATTTGCTTTGTTATCTGAAAATATAAACATCTTCAACGTAAAATAAAATTTCTATATTGCATAATGAAACATTAAAGAGTATTTGTGCTGGGAAAACAAGGAATCCTATAGCGAGTGATAATAATTATGAAGATGCTTTTTATGAAAATTTTTGGACTATCTTGAGAAGTCGCAAAAATCAAAACATAAATTCTTAGTAGCATCCTAAGTAATCCATATTGTTTGAAAGATATTTTTTAAGATTAAAAAAAAAAGCACAGAAAGACATATCAAGATATGCTGTCACGGGGTTAAGCGATATATTAGTTTAGCACCGAATATCTAGCCAGATACGGATCTAACGAGCACTCGCCTATTTGTTTATTAATACGATGTTAGACTTCCTTTATTAGTTGAATTTAACTAGAATAAGATCTCTTTAAAACTTCTAAGACTTCTATTTTTCTTTCCCTTCACATCTCTTATTTGTACCCTACATACTATACAATTACGTTATTACTAATTGCATAGTTTTATTTAACTTTATTATAGTTCCTGTTATGCATAGTTACTTTAGCTTTGATCGTCGCTTTTACTTCGAGTTACCGTCACTCACGTGAAATATGTTTTAATATATGACTAATAGTACTATATATATACATAGTATATACGTATGATAATCTTTTGCTAAAAGCATTCACAATAAGTATAATATATGCACATATATATTTTCTATATATATAGGATGGTAGTAGTGATACGGGCCGGCCTCGGCCCAACGGTCGGGCTGACAGGGAGGTCGGCCTTTAGCCCGCACCTTAGTGGGCCGGGCCGATCAAGGTAATGTAACCTTTTTTTTGTCCAATCAGATTGCAGCATAATGATGAACAAACCCGTGCCTTGCATTAGTATAAATATTTAAAGGTAGATGTTCTTAGAACTTTAATTTTTAAAACATTTTATAATGATAAA